ACCAAACAAACATAAACTAAATGCAAGAAAATAATTTGTGCATAATATGATCATAGAGGATGTAATTTATTTTCTGCTATTTTAAATTTATTGTTGTATTTTTTTTTTAATTTGTCATTATCGATTGTAATATAATATTTATCTTATAATAAATGAGTTTTAAAATTAATTATCATTTATCAAACTATTGAAAGAAAAAGAAAAAGTTTAAATTTAATAATATAATAATAGATAATTTTTTTATAGTGTAAAATTTGGTGTTGTGGTTGGAGATGAAAAAACTTTTTTGACATCAAAACACCAAATTTGGTGTAATTTCAACACCAAGTATGGTGTCAAGGTTGGAGTTGCTCTTAGAAAATCTAAAAGTTTGTAAGACTTTTTTCAAAGCCAAAAAAAAAAGAATTTACAATTCTACATAAAAATTTACCGCCTAAATTTTACAACAATAAATCTACCGTTAGTGTCCAACCATATATTAACTTTCAAGAAAAAACGTTTTAAAGACGCGCCAAAGTGGTAAATGCAAATACTTATCGTGTAGTTATTCTATATCATTACAGTTCAAGATAAATTGTTTTAAAATTATTAATCACTCAACTACTTTCTCGGTTTTTCTATTTAGGATGTTTTGAAAACTTCTTTTGTTTTAATATAGAAAATGTTCTCATATTCCTATGTAGTTTTTTATTTTTATTGAATACTGCGAGGCCAATATATAGTATTATGCTGTCTTTTTTATAATTGATTAAGTTGTTTTTAATTAATATATTTATTTATATTTTTTGAACGAAAAATTTGCTCTTAATCACCGTGCTTTTTGCTAAAACATTATATATAGAGAAACGTATAGAGTATTTTTGTAACTAGATTGTAACCTAGGGATGGAATTATTATTTGGGATCCGAGATCCGATCCGTTATCCGTTTGGAATCGCTCCGAAAATTATGATATCCACGGAGCTCAGATCCGGATAATGATAGTAAAATCTAGGATCCGTGAAAAGAGGATCCAGATCCGGATAGCAAATTTTTAAGGTCCGGATATCCGGATCCCGATCCGGACGCATTAAATATACTAAAAACATATATATTATATATCTATTAAACTAATTTTATATAAATAAATATATATATAAAAATTGATTTTAGTTCTTTTATAATAAATGATATTTATAATGAAAAAACACCATTTAAAATATTAACTAATAATTTAGAAAAATATATTTTTATTTATTAATTATTTTAATTATTTTTAATATTAATTTCGGATCAGGATCCGGATATCCGCGGATATTCTGATTTTTGGGCGGATATCTAGAGTCCGGATATCCGGGGGTCACGGATCCGGATAGTTTTTCCACAGATCCGATGATTCCGGATCCGGATCCGGATACCTTGAAATTCTAGAATATCCGGAATCGTCCCACCATACATCTGCTTCTAACGGACAAACAATTTGTATCATTTTAGATCAGTAGTCGGAGTGTTACCTCGCCCAACATCTTGACGTTGGTGCTTCTCTTCTATAAGGTTCTCTTCAAGTTTGTCAACAGATTGCGCTTGTTCGGATTTTCTTCGGAATAATAGCTGGGGAGCCGGCTGTTTTTGGGCGTTTGGATCCTCAACATTCTGGTTTCATTTATGGACTTATTGTGACCCTAATCCTTTGTTTAAAGTCTATGTTTTTCGTATTGTCTCTCTTTCCGCCGGCTTATGGTTTTGCTCCTGTAAAACTCAAGGTTACAATATCAATAAAATCTTTAGATGAAAAACAAAAAAAAAAAGATCAGTAGTCGGAGTAAGAGTAGATAAAGATAAAGTTTTTTGAAAGAGCTCTTTGTTGAGAATTGATTGTATATCTAAATTTAACAGTTGTTGCCACGCTGTCAAGATCCCAACGGCTAGATGAACATGGGACTTCTGTAACTGTCGTAATGCCGTGATTAAACGGGAGCGTGACGTCCACGCACCAATGGAAATCGAGGAAAGGAAGATAAGATATGCGTGTGATTGGTGGATTTTAGATGTTTTGACTTTGACCTACACGTGGGGTGTATATAATTATTACTACTACTTTTGTTTTGTTTATTAGTATGTGACATGATTATGAGGCGACGTTGGTAAAGTGGGTAAGGTGAGGTGTTTCCATCAGAAACCACTCAAATTAGAATAATGGAATCAGGCAAACAACAAAAGGAGAAAGTTTTGTACTTCCTCAACTTTTCGCATTAGATTAGAGGTAATGTCTTCACTTTAACCTTGAACAATATCGTTGAACATATAACAATCACCTTCCAAATGGACACATGAGAAACCCATGATCCATAGTATAGACATTTTGAGTGTCTACCAAAAGAGCTTCTCCAAATATCACGAAACCCAAAGACCTTAACAATCCATCTAGGTCCTTTATAATCCATCCAAACACATGATATGTCGTACTTAGGTTATAGCCATTATCAGAGCCAGTTCTGAATAGTAAAAGATAAGCTAGAGAAAAAAAAAGTTGGTCGTTTTGTAGGGAGAATCGACATTAATTTTTAGAAAACAGCAAATCTATAGTATTTGGTATGCTGACGATCATAACCAGCACTAGACATCATCATAGTGATATTGAAACCATCCATTATGTAATCGTAGCTAGATAAGGATATATAGAGCAGACCGTAAAATCTAAAAATCCGTTTTTACTTCGTCACAACTGCGCATCCTTACGATGATCACGCCTTAGTAGGATTTTTTCATGATTGGACTTCTATTTCATTTGGGCTTTTAAAGTATATGTTAATTTTATTTATTTGTTAAATTAGGGTTTTCGATGCTAGCTTCTTATTTAAACTTGTTGTAATTAATTAGAGAATATAACTTTGATATTGACTAAACTTTAAGCTTTCATAGCTAAACGAGCTTTCATAGCACGGGGAAGAGTATTCCCAACCTCTATCGATTTAAATCTAGATCTTCTTCGTTTAAATCAAACCCGATTACACACGAATTCCTTAAGTATTTCGTGTGTCTTCGTTATCTAGCTTCCGCCTCTCTATCAACAACCAACGATTAAATAACATCACTATTAGCTAGCTCGATGTCGTGAGTAGGTTGAATATGTTGGGAAAATAAAATTTATAAGAAAACTTGTTTTATTTGGAAATATCAAAATTGAAAAGGAAAAAAAACTCAATTCATAAGTTGATGTTATAAGAGATATTTATATAAAGACAATAATATGTGGTGTCATTTTATATATATACAACAATATGTGTTGTCTTTATAGTTGCAAATATCTATTTATCCACATCCTAGATATTTTTTATAATGTGTGAACCTAATATATTCTCTTATATACGACCAAAAACTAACATATGTAAAAAACAATATGCTTATTCTACAAACTATTCTTCATCTAGAATCTATGGAG